TGAGAAATTTTCCAATGCTGCTCACATCCTGACCCACTGGAGGCTTTATTCCACAACACACTTCTCATTTTTGAACATAACATTTGATACTGTCGTGTGTATGCAATCTCGAAGCGTACGAAGGATCAGAGCAATATCTTCTGCGAGAGTTGAGGTACATCAACAATTTTGTTATGCATAATGAACAATAAAGAAGAAAACAAGCTTTTCCTAGGGGCGGCCAGATTTGGCTCCGGGTCTTGCCGAGTATCTTCGGGACGGAAATTTTCACATTTTCTCCTGCGTTTTTCCACGGATATTCTTGTCAGTCATTAGTCTTAATTGGTGTGGTCTTTGATAGGACAACCATAGGACTTTAAAGCGGTGTCCATAGAATATTGAAAGGTGTATCTGTAATGCTATATCCTCTTAAATAACGAATCGCCCACGTTTGTCATCTGTGTGGACCTGACTGGATTGGGCGGTATCTTCTCGAGTTATATACAGATCTAAGGCGCCTGATACAGTGCTTCCGCTGAAGTCTGCGGTGGCTGACAATCCTATTTTCAACGTTTGACAGTTCTTCAGGGTAAGGCATCATAATCAGCGATACGTTAGACTTGGGTTATATCTTTGAGGACACGCACTTCTGAGTCGATCAGATGATTTAAAACTGGTTCGACGATGTTGCTCCAAGCGTGGGATTGAACTATGCTTGAACACCGTATTGGTTTGATGGTTTGCAGTTCCTCTTCCACCTCCCGACCCGCTAACGATCTAATGAGAATGGAGGTGAATGTCTACCATGATTCATCAGAGAAATTGAGAATGTAAACAAAATTACAAAAGTCATAACTTTCAGGGTTGCCAAACACCTTGATAAGCATACTTTAATTGTCCTTGATAGGTACGTTCGGCAGAGCGCTTGGCACAGCTTTTGACACAACTAATAACTCGGCACGAATTAAGGTGTGTCGAGTTGAACACCCCTTAGAATATTGAATACAATTCGACTAAACTTTCAGTAAAAGTATTGTGTTAAAACTTATTGAAAAATTACGGAGTTGAAAAAAAGCAAATGTGCAGATAAAGGTTTTCGTAATTACAGACGTACAATAAATAAAATTCAAGAAATTGTGATAGTTACTTCATTAAGAAAATCTTCAGCCGAGAACAGATTCACCTCTGACAACTGGAACTTAATGTTTTATATTTTCAATCTATAGAAAAGATACACATCGCTTAGCAAAAATTTTGTAGGATTTGGGGATTTTTCAAATAGACAAATTCTTTAGAAAGCAACCATTAGTAATTTTTCAAGATTCTAAACTTTACACAAAGTCCTTCTGAACTATGAATTAATTCAATGGAGATTTATGTAAAGCTGCACTAAGACCATAATAAAGAAATTTTACAGATTTGTTTCCAGATTTTTGTCAGTTAGATACAGATTAAAAAGATTTTTTGCGATGAAAATACAGATTGAAAATCGAAAAAATGTGGCATCACTGCCTATAGCTCATACCGTAGTAGGCTGTGTATACAAGAAAATGATTTACTTAGTTTGACAGTTGCACCATGACGAAGTGGCAGCGTATTCGTGATTTGTCCCACGCACAAATGTCGCAAAAAGACATTTCAATCGCCGTGGGAGTGTCCCGGTGGACCGTCAAAAGGGTTTTAGACCGAGAATAAGTGAATAACGGCACGAAAGATCGTAAAGGAAGATTGCGGGGCGAAGTCGAGGGCACCGCAAAAAAAAACTCACATGATTACCAACCGCATCCGGGAGCTACGAGTCGAACGATGCAAGAGAATCTTGAACGTCCTTAAGCGAAAAAATCCGGTAATCCTGTTCACCGATGAGAGCATTATTACCGTCGATCCTGTATCAAATTCCAGAACAGACCGGTATATTAGTTCTCTTCCGGTAAAAGACGTGTATCTGACCAAGCATCCTGCTAGCGTTATGGTATTTGGATTGGTGGCTTCCAATGGCACAAAAATGGACCCGGTGTTCATTCCAGAAGGCGACAAGGTCAACACGGAGGTCTACATCGGGATTTTAAGTAAGTATGTTCTTCCGTGGATCAAAGAATAGTACTGAACCGCACTCAGAAGTGGTTGCAGGTTCCTTCCGTTCTGGGCGAAGGATATGTGGCCGCCAACCAGCCCCGATCTTATTCCGCTGGATTACTCAATATGGCGCGTCATGAATGCCAAGGCCTGCTCTAAACGCCACCCGAGCACAGCAAGCCTCAGACAAACATTGGCCCGTACTTGCAAAGAAATGGATCCAGACTACATTATTAGAACCTGCCGTGCATTCCGGAAGCGTGTGGAGGCCGTAATTGCAGCAAGTGGAAACTCGATCGATGATTAACATCGTTTAAGACTCTGAGAAACATCCCCCCTTTAAATAAATAAAAAAAAAAACGAAAACGAAATTTTCGAGAATTTTTTTAATTTTGACATTCACTGAGGCAAATAGACCTAAGAATTTCATAAGGCACGACTTATGAACAACATATATGAATTTCATAAGCATGACTTATGAATTTTCATTTTCCCAAGCGTTGAAAGACGAGTGGTCAACACACGGGCCCCCTAACCTCAACGTCCATTTTCCGGTTCCAGTCTGCTCCGATTTATTATTTTTTTGTCGACATTATTTTTCATAAGGCAAATCAATGAAATTCGTACTCATTTCTTAAGGCTAAATTTGTGTTTCTTATGGAATTCTTACGTTCTTTTGCCTGCGTGTTGTTCAATGGTGCAAACATTATCATGCATACGGTAATGCAATGTTCAGCTTGATTCCGTTGCACATCGTTTTCTTAAAAAGAGAAAGCATACACGCTATTTCACAACTACCCAAATTTGGGTAGAATCCACCCAGATCGGTCAAAACTGAACCTACAAAAAATGGGTAAACTATATTGGGAGTTACAAGTTGACAAATGAACAAAGTCGAACGGATTCACGTGAATGTTGTTCATTTGTCAACTTGTCATTCCCAACACAGTTTACTCATTTTTGGGTAGGTTCAGTTTTGACCGATCTGGGTGGATTCCCAAATTTGGGTAGTTTTGAAATAGCGTGTAGTTTGCTACCTCTCTTTACTCTTCATCGATGGCAGACAACAAGCTACTGCTGCCAGCAGTGACGGTAGTTTCGGGTAGCATTCAGATTTGGATTGGGCAATCACAGACAAACAGACACATAACCACGCAAGTTGTTCATCGAACAAGCATTTAACGGTCAATTTAAAAGTATCGTAGTTGGTAGTACCACCACCTGTGGCGCGTATAGTCAATTCCCTTGCGTTTGACGTTTACACACTACCGCCATCTGTTCAGCGTACTACCCACTACAGTATACTCAACAGATGGCGGTAATGTTTTAGCGACGATGTTCTACAGTGCGAAATATTCAATGTGTTATGTCTGTTTGTCTGTGGGGCAATCTTTAGTAAAAGATCGATCTCGGAAGATCGATTTGATCGGTACCAAATAATCGATCTTTACATGAACGATCTTTTTATCATAATGCTGATAATATCTTAAAATTTCCAAGTTAAATATTTATATATTTTTTTTAAAGTTCATGAAAATGCAAACTGTTGAAATATTGAAAACCTTGGACATTTGAAAATTGACAAAAATCGTAAAACAAGAACTTTTTGTAAATTTTTTAAACCTTTTGTTATTACGCTTATTCATGTAATTTTTACAACAAAATCAAGAAAAAAAATGTGTACTTGGTTTTCAATATTTAAAAAAAAAGTAAAGCTGATTAAATTTTTTTAAATAAAATTATAATAACTTAACAAAGATACATAGAGATATTTGAGTATTTGACACTTTTTTGAAAATTTTATTCAAACCGTGTATATTTTTCCCAAAACACTAATTTTGATTCTACAACTTTTTTTCAGACGTCATTTTGATCACAAGTGACGTTCTCGTGCTACAATTTATTTATTGAAAAATTCCAAAGACGCCGTTTTGATCAAATTTACAAGATCATAAATGCAAAAATTTGAATGATTGACCATAACCAACAATTATGCAAACTTTCGTTCAAATCGCAGAAGGTTGAATTTTTTCGTTTCGTCATTTGGCGTTGAACTTCGTCGGTGGTTGAACTGCTCTATTCGAAGAGCACCCCTAAAGGGACTTTGTGAGGATTCTGATATGATTCTAAACATTTTTTTATAATTACAAACAAATCCTGTGAAGATTAGACCTTATTATTATAATGTGTCAAATCTAGTGTTTCATAATATTTTTATTTTTAACATCGCGAACAAAGACAAATCCAGAGCTTTAAAAAAAAATCGACTTTAACATTATTTATAAGCTCTTAAGTTATGAAAAATTTCCGATCCGGTTACTTCTTCTGCCTGTCTATAAGTTTGTCATTATTAGACCGCATTTATTTTGTGAATCGACAATCATGCCTCCACCACAGACAAACAGACATAACACATTGAAAAATTATCACTTTAAAACATCGTCGTTGAAACATTACCGCCATATGTTGAGTATATTGTGGTGGGCAGTACGCTGAAAAGATGGCGGTAGTCTGTAAACGTCAAACGCAATTAAATTGACTATGCGCGCCACAGGTGACGGTACTACCAACTAGGATACTTTTAAATTGACCGTTAAATGCTTGTTCGATGAACAACTTGCGAGTGTTACGTCTGCTTGTCTGTGCCTCTACCATTGTAATTATAACAGACCGCTCAAAATAAACATCCATCCCAGATTTTTTATCTTCCCAGAAATCTTTCCGTCCTTCACTTCAACTCCGTCTTTCTCTATGAGCAATCCTAGCTGTTCGTAGGGCAAAAGTTCCCTCAGTTAATGCATTCAAAGTCACTTCTCATGCCATGTAAGAATGCCAATCCTTATCGCTCGTTTCTTCCTCGCCCACGTCTTTCGCTCGAGAGGGAACTTTTTGTTTTTCTCCGTCCCATACTCAAACGACTCTCTTCTATATCATGGTCAGCAGTTTTAGCTGATTAATCACCTACTTCAGAGTGCTAAATTTCGCTCCCAAACCGATCGGCAGCCGTGCCAAGTGCGTTGTTTAATTGGTTAAAATAAGTTTTCAAAACTAAGTGATAACAATATTTACAGCCCCAAGTGAGTATCGGCAGTTCCAAAGTGACATTATCAGCCATTGGCGATCATCGCCAATCGGAATCGGTAGTAAAAGTGTCTTCCCTTTCACTCCGGCCATCGAATAATCGAAGTCCGTCTCCGCGTCCCGCCCTCCCATTCAAACTGGGTTTACGCATTCTTCATCCTCGCTGGATGGTTCGGTCGTAAAAATGTGTACCCACAAACATGCACGCCTCAATCATCGATAATGAGCATTGGAGCAAATTTGAAAAACGAGATCGATCAAAAGAAACTACCTACAACATAAACCAGTCATGATCTCCTTCTTTCTCGGGAGCTCAGGAATGTCAAAATTTTCCCTCCCCAGGCTGCTGCTGCTGCTGTTGCCTTCATAACCCAAATATCCGGAAACGGCTACAGCAGTTTTGTTTTCGTCTTATTTCGCAAAGAGACCGGCCTTTTACTTGTCAGTTGTGCGGCCGGGCCAAATCTCTCCAAATTTAGTGCAAATTTGATAACGACTTCAAACCAGATTAACTCGCTCTACACTCACCGTCGCGCTGTGTCGTGGGTCTCCACTGTTGGTGACGGTGAATTGTTCCTCGTTCCAGTCTCTGATGGTGGAAATAGCAAAAAAACATAAAACAAGACTTAACTTTTCGTCGGAATTACTTGCCACTCACTCACGGGCTTCCACCGATGATGGCGTAAATAAAAGGAAGGCATGCTGGAAGAAGGTGTGTGCACCTTTTACCCTGTATAACCAACGTGAAAATCAGTCATAATAACGTTGGAATCTGAAATTCCATAACGTTGGAATTTTAAACCGACTTGAAATTAGAACGAAAATCGCATGAGCAGTTCCAGGTCAAATAGCAAAAATAAAAGGAATTTTTTTCTCGACATTCTCCGATTTGCATGAAACTTTGTTATGCCCATGGGTAGTATTGTAAGCGACACATTTTCTGTGATAATCGACTGCCTTTGCCTCCGACACTTGCAAAACAAGCTTTTATAGTACAGTACCAAACTAAAATGACATATGATAGGCTTTGTCATACAACGGCGCCGGTGGTGTAGTGGTAAGCGTGATTACCTCTCACCCCAGCAGGCCTGGGTTCAATCCCAGTCGGCGCCGCCGGGATGTTCTGAGGCATAACATCTCTGATCACGCCTTCCTTCGGATGGGAAGTAAAGCCGTTGGTCCCCGGTTCATGAGTTGATGGGTCGATAGGTAGGGTCCAGGTGTGGGAGCTGCCTTCCTGGCACGTCGGTAGCATTGGTGCTCAGCACGGAAAACAAGATCGACGGAAAAAACAAACCAAAGGAGGCTTTGTCATACGACACTGTCGCCGAAGACCGGTACGAATGTATGTATTTTAGTTTTTCTCATAATGAGAGCTATTGATATTATGCTTGTGTAAATGAAAATAGCAAGCAACGATGTCCTAGTAATAACACTTCGTATCAGAAATGGTTTGATTTACACCAAATTGAGGAATTAGAACGAAATCACACATGTCATATGATAGTTATTTGATAAATTTCATTTTGCTCGAATGTTATTCTACCGGTTGTGTTGTGTGAGAGAGACGACGGTAGAGCATGAGTGTACGAATACAAACAGACTGTCCCGCACGACAACGAAGCAAGTGTAGTAAAAAACGTCAACTGTTTCAACCCCTGCCCATGGGCAATCATTCACATTTCCGGAGAACTTCGAGATTAGGGCGTAATTGCTTTTGTAAACAAACACTTCATTTGACGATTTCTCGCGAATTAAAGCTCAATCTAAAAAACTAACAACACAAACAGGTAGATGAATGCTTCCTCTATCATTTGGTATAGTTTTTTCACGAGATTTTTCTTTTATTCACGAGAAATCAACGATTGACATGTTTGTTTACAAAAGCAATTACGCCCAGATTTCAAAGTTCTCCGGATTTGTGCTAAAATTGGGTATTTTCAAAGGGACGTACAAAAGGAAACAAAGATTCAAACGTCAACTCAAGACCAACAATTGAAATTGCCTTAACTCCATTTTGTAAACAAACCTTGTAAGGCCATTTTATCGTGAACCGAAACCTTCATTCGCAAACCTAAACCACAATCGGGTAGAGGAGAATTTTCCCTACCTGTTCATTCTGTTGGTTTGCCTTTGCGGACTTCGGTTCGCGAGAAAATGGCCTTACAAGGTTTGTTTACAAAATGGAGTTAAGGCCATTTCAATTGTTGGTCTTGAACTTGTCGAAACTCTTAAGCAAACCCCACACGCATCAATATATTGACGCGAAGGGGAATTATTGACAATAATATTGATGATGTGAATTCAGAAATATTGTCAATCTCGATACATTGACGTCAATATACAATGTATTGACAATACGATTATTGTCAATACAAGCAATCGTGTAGGGTCCACATTAGAGCTCTCATGCAAACTAACACCATCATCAGAAATGGTAATATTTCCTCAACTAGATGGTGTTGTTAGCTTGCGTGGGAGTGGTGAAAGTTTCGACAAATTTGCGTTTTTAGCGGCGCCGATGGTGTAGTGGTAAACGTGACTGCCTCTCACCCCAAAGTGCCTGGGTTAAATCCCAGTCGGTGCCGTCAGGATTTTCTGAGACACAAAATCTCTGATCACGCATACGGTCGAAACCTTTTTCGGGATACCATCGTAGCCTAAAGACTTCTTCGGTATTCAGTGAAGTGATCTCGAAGCGAAACGTGGTTGCTAGGCAGCCGTTGTCGTATTCCAATGCCGGTAACCTAGACAACCAAAATCACAAATACCACGAAAAGCTGTTCTGCAAACGTGTGAGGCTTGAACGAGACGACGAGATAGCCAAACGTGATAAACGGATTGAGAAATTGGAAACGATTCTGAAGGTAAACACGCAGGAACGTTTGGACATCGTGCAGCAGCATGGCACAATTCAGGATCTGATGAGCCTTGAAGCCGAACTTGCTGCTAAGAACCGGAAGGCCTCTACCAACTAGCGAAGCTACACTTCATACTAAGAGACAGATGAAGGATTCCAGGAATCCGAATATCAAACCGTTCGTTACCCACACGTTCAAAGTCTTCTGCGAACGCATGCAATCCATCACCTACTCGTTGCCCAACAGCAACAGAAAAAAAATCCTCTACACTGCAACTAAGAAGAAGATTAGTAGACCCAGTGATGAAACTACAGACCGCCGAACAACTCATCGTCACTGACATACAGAAATAGAAGAACCCACCTCTGGACGGGTAATAGCTCCCGACGCCCTCCCCACCAATGTATCCTCCACCGCATTTCATCATAAACGGATACAATAACGACGCAGAACGAACTGACAACAACCTAAGAATCAATCACAACGACCAACCATATAGCGCTAACAATCCCAGCTTATCAAAGACACCCACACCAACGGATAAGGCCTCGGTTAGCCGGGGCCCTGTCACTGCGGAAGATATACCCGAACTGGAACCCCTCGACGCCTGTTGGCAAACTCCACCGATGATAGACAAGACATCATCATCCCGGTGGGATCACGGAAGAGTCGAGCCCCCTCCAGTGCGTACGCCAACGAAGAAACGGAACTGGTGAACTATCCTGGGCGCTCCCTGAGGACCGGAAGAGGGACGGAAAAGACTTCTCGTATCAAGTAAAGGGTGATACGGTCAAAATTTGGTCAATATCAACTTGACGTATTTCTTTCAATTTTGCATTTAAAAAACCTGAACACCCCTCATATTGAAGGTATGTGTGTGTAGAATGTTGCTCCTATTTTGATTCTGGAATTCACTCTTCAGTTGTCAAAATGCCGTCCAAGCAAGAAGAGCAGCGTATCAAAATTTTGCTCGCGCATCGCGAAAATCCGAGCTACTCGCACGCAAAGGTGGCAAAATCGCTAAAAGTTGCCAAATCAACCGTTACAAATGTAATTAAAGTGTTTGGGGAACGTTTGTCGACAGCCAGGAAGTCTGGATCGGGGGGAAATCGAAAACCGGAAGCCGCTGAGACGACAAAGAGAGTTGCCGGTAGTTTCAAGCGAAACCCTAACCTCTCTCTCCGAGATGCCGCAAATAAGCTGGGTGTATCGTCTACAACCGTGCATCGAGCCAAAAAACGAGCCGGACTATCGACTTACAAGAAGGTAGTGACTCCAAATCGCGATGATAAACAAAATACGACGGCCAAAGCGCGATCCCGGAGGCTGTACACGACGATGCTGACGAAGTTTGACTGCGTGGTAATGGACGACCGAAACCTACGTCAAAGCCGACTACAAGCAGCTTCCGGGATAGGAGTTTTATACGGCAAAAGGAAGGGGAAAGGTAGCAGATGTTTTCAAGCACATGAAACTGTCAAAGTTCGCAAAGAAATATCTGGTTTGGCAAGCCATCTGTACCTGTGGCTTGAAAAGCAGCATTTTCATAGCTTCCGGGACTGTCAACCAAGAAATTTACGTGAAAGAGTGTTTGAATAAACGTCTGCTGCCTTTCCTGAAGAAACACGGTTGTTCCGTACTGTTTTGGCCGGATTTGGCATCTTGCCATTACGGTAAAAAGGCCATGGAGTGGTACGCCGCTTACAACGTGCAGGTGGTTCCCAAGGACAAGAACCCTCCCAACACGCCATAGCTCCGCCCAATTGAGAAATACTGGGCTATTGTCAAGCGGAACCTAAAGAAGACCAAAAAAACTGCTAAGGGCGAGCAGCAGTTCAAGGCAAACTGGCTTTCTGCGGCGAAGAAGGTGGACAAGGTGGCTGTACAAAATCTGATGGCAGGGGTCAAGCGTAAGGCCCGGCAATTCGGATTTGGAAAAGCGGAAGCCTAACTGAATATTTTTCCTGAATTTTATACTAATTGAACTTGAAAAAGAAATTTAATTTGATTTTTTAAATAAACGATTTCACCAATTTACACGCGTTTTCCCTTGACCAAATTTTGACCGTATCACCCTTTACAACGAGGAAGACCAGATAATTCGATTTGATGTGAAGAGCGAACCCCAAGTGCTG